AACTTTGCCAGATATAACAATATTTCAGATGTCAGAGCGACAACACCTGCTGGTGACACTTGTAATTATACTTTATTAAAGGATGGGCTATAAGGTTAGTTTAAAGGAGCAATAATGACAGAAATTTAATTGATATAATTCCTTTCTTAGAAATATACTTATATTCTTCATCATTCTTTACACTTATTTTTCTTATATCATTTTAAATTTAATACTGTATAATAAATTTATTTACTATTAAGTTTTAATTAAGTCGATGAGTTACATACTTAAAACTTTAAAATTTTTACTTTATTTTATTTTTTTTTAAATAAATTTTAATTCTTTATTTTAAATTATTAATATTTACATTTAATTATAAATTAATCTTTTTAAAATGTGATATTTTGAATAAAATAAAAAAACAAAAGTTAATGCTTTTGATATTTAATTACAATTATAAAATCATGAAAATTTTTGAGAAATAAAGTTTAAAATACTCTTATATAATTTTAGAAACCGAAATTTAATTAAAATAAATAAAATAATACGTTTTATTTAGAAGTAAACTAAGATAAATTTTAATTTTTTTTTAGTTTTAGTATTTTTTTAATTGTATAATTCTTGATTTAAATTTTTATAAAAATTAATAATTTGAAATTGTAAATACCTAAAAGTAGTTAATGAAATGTATTATATATTTATTTAATAATTTCCAACAGATCTTGGTTAATCAGCATCCAAAAATATAGTTTTAGATGATGATTAATCAAGATCTCCGACATGCTTTACTGTAAGAAAACTTTATAATTAACTAAGAAATATTCTAACACGATTTAAATTATTATTTCATTATATTTAATACATTTTTTTACGAGTAATCACATATTATCATAATTAATATCGATTATTGTCTAAGAAAAATCTATTTCATCATTATGAATCTAAATAAATCTCCTTAATCTTTACTAAACATTTATCCAGAATAAACTTTTACTTAATTAAAAAATATATGTATATAGAGTAATAAATGTACTGAATCTTTATGAATGTTACATAATACATTTATAAAAATTAATACTATAGGTAGATAAAACAATAAGATAGAAATAATTGTAATTGTTTTCAACAGAAGAAAAGACGAGTAAGTAAGAAAGTAAGATAAACAAGGGGAAAAGAAGAAAGAAAAAGCAATTAAGATCAATTCCAGTCATAAAAAAAATGTTAAAAACAGGAATTTAAGTTAATAGAAAAACTTTTTTTCGTATGATTATTATAAATCCACTAAAGCTCTTTATGCAAGTTCGGGCAAACTTTACATTTAACCACTTGATCCGGATTGAATTACCTTACACTTCAATAATCTAGGTTCGTTCATTTTCATTAATTTCGATCGTTAATGTAAATTAACTAATGTTAAGCGTATATTTATTTGAAATGATTCCGAAGCTCATATAAATTTATTGTTCCTCGTAATCCTTCCAAGAATATAGACCCGTTCACTTCTTAATCAAATAAATTAAAATCATACTCATTAAACTTGTAAAAGTGAATGAATAGAATTATATAATACGATAATTTTTAATTAATAAAATTAATTTTTTTTAAATTGATAAAGTTGAAAGAGTGGGTAATTATTTTTTGCATGAGAAACAATAGTAGAATATTAGATTTGAGAGGAAGAAAAAATCATTTTTGGAAGGGAAAAATCAGTTTTGAAAAAACAAATACTACGAATGCATACAAAATACTAATTATTTGAATCGTTTATTGATTTTTCGAATTGCCAGATAGTGCATATCATAAATGTTTGAAGGGAAGTACATCGTTAGTTAGAAATTCAACGCAAGAAAGTAATAAAGCTTATATAAATTATTTCCTTCAAAATTATGTTTCCTTCTTTTTTTTCTCCTGTATGAAAAGCAACTAAAATAAGTGCAAAAAATACGATTCTCTGGTAAAATAATGATCAGAGAGAAAAGATGGTTCTGTAAATGACCTCATCTGCAATTCCCATAATTGTACTTTATGACGAATGAAAGAGTTCCACTGGGATGATGTTTAAAAGATAAAAAGAAAAAAAAAAGAAAAAAAAAAATGTTACTACTGTAACAAACGATCTAGCATTCTTAATCTGTTTTAAATGTTAAATTCTCTAGAAAGTTTTGTTTGTTTAGAAAATTATTTAAATAATTTTTTAAAAATACGAAATTCTTAAAAATTTCTTCTTACTAATGTTTTTTAAATAAAGAAAAATTTAATTGATTTTTATGTAAATAAATTACATTAAATATTAATTCATTTATCCTAATAATTAATACACCAACAATTTAATTAGTTTAATTATTTTTTTTACTAAAAAACCATAAGAAGATTCGAAGTTTCCATTAAAAATATATAGAAAATTTACTCAAAAATTAATATTAGTTGTTAAAAAATATTTTATTACTTAAACAAAATAATTTTTTTTACAGGGAAGATAATAAAATAGATATTTTCAGAACGCGTTGCAGAATATCAAAAACTTTATCGAATTTCACAATAAAAGAAAAAAAACTTTAAAGTAGTCAAAGAAAACCTCTTACTTAAAAAAAAAGAAAAGAAAAAAGAAAACTCAACTGGGGTGTTTCAGTATTACAAGAGCATAAAACTCCACTAAAAATACTACAAGTTATAAAATGAACAGAATAACGGAAAAATACAAAAGGAAGAATTGAAAAAATATAAAATAAAAAAAGTATATAAAAGGATGTAGAGAATAGCCAGTGTTATAGAATAAAAAGATACTGAAGGAGGTGAGGTGAAGGGAAGAAGGGGAAAATACAAGAAATAAAGGTGTAAGTGATCCAAGATCAATAGTAACGATTACTTCGATTATTTCTGTAGCAGGTCACCACAAGCTAAGAATGGTACAGATATGCACAAACTAGAAATTTTATAAGACCAAGACAAAACTTCTCAATATGGCTGCCGTAACTGAAAATGTTTCATAGGATTTTTTTTCTTCGATTTACTTCAATCTTTTCTTCTTTTAAGTACAATATAATAATACAAAGATGTTTTAAATTCGGAATTCTTGGCTCTGTTAGAAGATTCGAGTAGCTTAAACTTACTTCTTTCTAGATTCGCTCCATTTATTATACTGTAATATCTTGACAAGTAGATCTTTTATGCAATGCTTTTAGCTTACTACGATGTTTTTCTCCTTAATAAAAGAAGGGAGAATTAAGCGATGATTTACAATAGGAATTAATGAGGAAAATATAAAATTTTTATTACTTATAAATAACGTCAACATAACAATTTCATTCATTGAACTGAAAAATTATTTATCTTCGTTTTCAAATAATAAAATTTATGATTAATTTAATGTATTTATTAATAGATAATAAATCTTTCAAACTATAGACTCGGCGAAGTTAACATAAAATATTGTATCTAAGTTAAAGAAACTAAAAGTAATATAAGTCTGAATATAAAATAGGATATAACGTTAATAAAATTGACAATGGAAACAATTCAAATATTAAAGAGTAAGCTGTTAAAGCCATAAAAGGTAAATGAAACGAATTTATACAAGTGCAAAAATAAATGGGCTAAGCTAATATATTATTTATGATCATATTTGAATTGTTCTCCATTGGCTGTGAAGAGTTATAAAGCAATATTACCGAACTTTTAACATTTGCATACCGTTTTCGACAGTTCATTGTTATAAAAATATCGCCATTTATCAATTTTAAGAAATGTTATTTCATGTTTTTTGATATAGTTCAATCATATCCTAGTTAATTATTAATACTATGTAATAAAACATATTTATTTACTAGTAAATCACTATAAAACATGGAAACTGACTTAATTGATAGTATCTTTTAATCATTTTTGTAGTGTTTTATTCTTTAATATATTATTATGTAATTATGAAAAAATTCACATTTAAATCAAATTTTATATATATATGAATTTTTTCATAGTTTCTCATTTAATCTATCCGCACAGCATCCTACTGGAACCTTCTCTCCTCTTTCTTATCCCTCAATCCCCTTCGTTTCTTCAACCTTTAAGTAGGTTCTACTTCCAAATGATAATAAATTTTCTGGTCAAGAATTAAATAAAATTATATATTTGAATAAAACACATTTTAGACATTTTTAAATATACAATTTTTACAATAATTAACTCAAACTTAAGTTAGTCGCAAGATCGTAAACAGGCTACAAAACTTAAACTTTTACATAAAAAATTTATTAATAAAAGTATTATAAATTAAATTTTCTTTTGATAAATGGTTAAATGAATACAATAAATATAGATTTTTATCTATTTTAATTGCTTTCAATGGGGGGATGCTAAATTAGTAATTATTTAAGTTCATTTATCAATAATTCAGTAGAGATATTAAGAACAAATTTTGATTAATTAGGTTGAAAATGTTTTTAATATATCTTTTGTCCTAAAATCATATAACAAAAAAATTTTAATTTAAGTGTATATTTATAGAAAAACATATATAATAAATTAGAAAATTTAGAATAGAACAACATAGGAGTAGGCTAAATTATAAAACTCAATATGCGCTTTTATATTACACACTTGAGGAATAAGATTTAACGTCATTCGATAAATCATTGTCTTAAATTATATATTTTCTACTGATTTAAAAATTCAATAAAAATTATTGCTGAAATTACAAAAATTTTTTTTTAAAAATTCAATGTTTTCAATACATATGCATTAACTAAATTATAAAGTTAAAATTAATTATTTTGTTAAAGTAATTTCTTTTTATAAATTACTTTTTAAAGTATAAAAAAGGCAAGAAGAGTTAATTTGAATGGAATAAAATAGAAAGTTTTTAAAATTCAGTAGTTTAAATGTATACATTATTGCCATTAGGGAGAACATTGTTGCTATATAAACATTCCTTTACTTAGAATTTCTTTTACTTTAGCAAGAAAAAAAAGTTGCCTTTTTTTTTAGTAGAAAAATAATTATTTTTGTTCAAGTGAATAAAATTTTCAGACATTTTCAGCATTTTGCAAAGTAGAAAACTGAAAAAAATATATAAAAGTTATGATAAAAGCAGTTAATTATTGAAAAATTCAAATTTAATCAATCAAATCAAATAAAAATTTATAAGATATTTATAGATAAGATCATTCTTGAATTCTTAAAAAATTTTCTGTAAAAAGAAACATTTATTTTTATTAATTCTGTAGAAGAAAACCTAAAATGAATTTTCCTCTGATTTAATAATAATATTCTTTATTAAATCAGGGCCTTTTACGTGTAAAGAAAAGTTGAAATTTTCTGAATTTTTTGAGGTCCTTTAAATGTGAGGCCCAGTTTAAATAGTTCGATTTGTGATAAAACTTATAGCAAAATCAAAATATATATACTTTACTTTAATAAGGTTTTTAGTTGCATTGTTACTACAGCTAGAGCTTTAAAGTGAAGAATTTCTGAACATAGAAAAGATATGAATAGAGGAAGATCTGCAATAAAATTGACTACTTTTTTATCTAGATAATGTTTATAAGATGCTATGAGACACAGCAAAAATCCTAAATACTTTAAATAATCGTACAATGTTCTTTTAACATTAAACCATAAATATACTAAATTGGAATTCCATCAACCAGTTAACTTTCAACCTCATCAATATGTCAACAGCATGCCTACAAGCATCGAAATAATGCTTGAAACATCTTATTAATTATATACAATTAATTAATTTCTATTAATAATTCATTAATTTATTGTTGTTTCAGATATTTTGTATATGTAAGCTTAGAACAAGTTTAAAATTTGAAATTTAAAGTGTATTTTCTGTTAGGTGATAGATTTATTTAAAAAATCTATTTTTTTATTCCTCAAATTCTTCTCCATCCTTTGTAATTTCGAAGAGTATATTTATTGACGCTTATTATTATTATTAAGTTTTAGTATAAAATAATATTACTAATAACAAAACTACAGAATTCTTATAAGAAATTTAGGGCTACTTAATTGAATTCCTCTCCCATTCTTCATTCTACAGATGAAGAATGAGAACTTAACTTCCTAAGTATTAATTTTTATAATAATATATTTTTTGGCTGGATTCTTCTGTAGATTTCTTCTTTTTCCTTTGTCTTGCCAGTTTATTCTCAGTATCTTTCTGAAGCATTTTTTAGAAGTTAAATTTGTCTTTTTGTTTTTATGCATCACCTCGTTCTCGAGCCACACAATACGCTAACTTTGTGTACGATGTAATATTCTGACTTCTTCATATCTTATCCAGCAATTTTAAATTTTGACAAACCCTTCGAAAGTTTCGTCATTATCTATTCAATATATTTTAAATTTTTAGTTAATTTATTTCCCAAGCATGTGGATTCTCTAATTGTTTTAATCGTTGCTCTATCTGTCTTGATGCCAATTTCTTCATCATCGCTTCCAAACACCATGAATTTTCTTTTTTCAAGAGTAATCTGAAGTCCTTATCGCAAATCTGCTTTGCTGAAGATATTCACTGTTATCTTCAAATCTTTAGGGTTTTCTTCAAGAATTACAATATCATCTGTAAACCAAATTAATTCCTTTATCATTCATACAATCACTTTCATATCTCCTGAAAAATAAGATGTAAGAAAACGAAAGAAATAATCAAATGCTTGAAAAATAACAAATGAATGACTATTTTTTTAATATATAATTTATTAAATTATTTTGTCTGCTTCTTCATACACGTATGCTTTTTTAATTTCTTCCAATAATCAATGATTATGAGATAAGAATTTATTCTTGATTGGATATTAAAACAAACGTGATAGTATCTGTTAGAATTATATCGTGACTATTTCTATTATAGATTAATTATTAAAGTCATCTAAAATATTACTTTGTTATCCCCTTTAATAGTGGTAAATGTTTAGAGTTGAGAATACAAAATTTTAATCAGTAAGCTAGAGAATTTTTAAATTATGGAACATTTTTCTACAATTTATAAAGATATCAACATATTCTTTCAATAATAGTGAAACAATCAGTTCTTTGTACCTCTCCTGATTGACAGAAACATGTCCCTTTCCATCTTCGATAAAGTAGGGTCCAAACAGACCATGGCCAAAAGTGGTATATCAAACAGTAAACTTTTCAGGATGTAGAAGACGTTCAATAACCTCAGTAGATTATCCAAAACACAGAGAGAAATCGTGTCGTTTGCTTGTTCACACCATCTTCCAATGCAACGTGGCATTCATCAGAAAACCAAGTATTGGGGAGAAAAATGTTTATCAACATACAAAATTGCTTACAGAACTTAAACGCTCTCATAACTGATGGATGAACAGCATACGATATGAAAATGTTCTTAATATATGTACAAAAATATAGTTAAATAATAGACTCTGAGCTGTGTATAATTACGATAAAGACTATAATGACAGAATGACTTATAATTGATATAAACTATGTGCTGTTGAGTGGCACAATGTTCCCGTTGCTAACGTGTTAGTCTAAAGAGCTATCTCGTATGACAGTCAATCATCTGTAGTAATGTAAAGGACATTGACAGTACAGCGGTACGTTCAAGAAATCCTGTACCCACGGGTGTTGCCTTACATGGCAGGGCTACAAACAGCCATTTTCCAGCAAGCTAATGTCCAGCCGCACAGCTAGGATTTCTCAGGAACACTTTCTTATCCTGCCTGGTCGTCCATAGAGCATTGTGGGACCAGATAAAACATAAGCTTTGTCGTCTACGAGTATAAAGAATCTGGAGTAACAGTTGCAAGATCTATGGGAAAATCTGCGCCTGTATGCCTCCATGCCGGATCGAATCTCTATTGTCAGCGATAATAAAAATTTTATAAATTATAACAAAGTTACTAAACTATAGAATAAATCAGTTATGTAAAATTAAAATAATAATGTTAATTTTGATTCATAGTTGAAAATAATATATGAATAAAAAGAAAAGTATTTATAAGCAGGTTTCAAATTCGAGAGCATCAAGAGAAAAGATAAAATTGAAGGAATAAAATTTTTGATTTTAGAAATATAAATAAGATTTCTCTCTGTAGAATACGCAAAAAATTCTCTTCAATCAATAAGTTTTGTAACTTTTTGATTTTCGAAATGTAATACAATTTGAAATTTGATTAAATCCAAGTAAAAGTTTGAAAAAATAAATAAATTTTAATATGCCAAGATTAAACATCATCATCATCATCATCATCCTAATAAATATTATATCTTAAAACTTGTTAAGATTTCATATCATTTAAGAATTCTCTCCTTATTTCTTTATTCACAATATTTCTGAAATAAATAAATAAATAGTTGAACTTCAATATTTAAAATTAAAAGTTATCGTCATCATCATCATCCTAACAAGTGTTATACCTTAGAACCTGTTATATTATTATCTCATCTTCTCTGGAATCTACGCCTCTCTCTTCATCCATAGAGTTTCTAAAATAAATAAACAGAAACACTTCAATATTTATGGATTAATCATCATCATTATCATCCAGACTCGTAAGTCTGTTACGATTCGATTCGTCTCAGGTGTCTACCTCAGCTCAGAGCCGGTTTAGATTTGTTGTGGCCCTACAATTTAATATAAAGGAAGCTTTTCCTTTGATGTAAAGGAAAATAAGTTTAAATATTAAGAATGAAGCTGAAGTTTATTTATGTGTAAATCTATTCAAGCCTTGACTCTTCATCTATAGGGTTTTTAGTTTAAGATTTCTATTGNTTTTACAAATAATACCTTTAAAACTAAGACAGCCATCAAGAAAATGCATAATATATTTACTAAAGTAAGTAGTAGGCTAACAACGCCTAAAACGGCGCATTCTTTCTCCATGGTATCAAAATATTCCACGTGATATCCTTCTGGGGGGATCAACGATGGCTTTATCATTCTTGAAATGTTATCCTTTTTAAACTAATTATTTAAATTAAAAATATATTTTAAAATAAATTTTTAATAATTCAAATATAAAAAAAAATCTATTCCATTTGTTGGGAGAGTGCACATTTTTTACGTAAATTTGACGTCATTCTTTATAAACATTCATTATAAAACTGAAGTAGTGACGTCAAATTGACGTAAAAATAAGCACCATTTCAATTAATCGAATAGATCTTTAATTGTATACACTTAAAAGTGAGGAAAATATAATATACGTTGTAATTATTATATAAAAATATTAAATAATTCATTGTTTTAAATTGATATAAGAAGATTATTCTTACAAGAATAGGAAATTCTGTCATTGACCTCTGAACTTTCACGGCAGACACGGCCCAAAGTAATCCCTATAATAGATTGAGAACAAAGATACTTTCTTTACAAATGAATGATTTTGCTGGAAATAATGAACCTAAGAAAGTAACTTACAGCATTTACGGCTGGTGGTAACAACGATGCAGATATTGCCACACCTACCAATGATCCAGCATTACCACCTAATACAGAGAGGGCCACTCCTGCTCCCGATGGTAAAGCTATGAGAGCTCCTACCCATAAAGATCTTCCTTGTCCTCTAAAATTTACAGTGGAGAAAAGAAAATTTATTTATGTATTCTTTCAGATGAATATTCTTATACAGTTTATATATATATATATAATACCTCGCCGCCATTTCGGTTGTGGGCCAATCACCTTGTCCCCATTTACTGCTGAAGTTTGCACAAATTAATCCAAATACGAAACCTATAAAAACATTTGAATTTTAATACTTATGAATGTTTTTGATGGAGAGAGAGAGCTCTATTTCTTTCAAATTCAGTGTTTAATCTGTTAAAAAAAAAGATTATTAAATATAATTTTACCAAACAGAAGGCATAAAACAAGACCAACGATTTCAGTTTTTATTCCAAGATTTCTAAGAGATTTATCTTGTATAACAGCTCCAAAAGTTCCTGCCAAAATTGGTCCCTATTTAAATGAAAAATTCATATTATAATTTTACATTTTAATATTTAAATTTTTATTTAAATCTTCTTACCATTAAAGGTGAAATAAGCATACTAGCAACCAAAACAACCGAACTATTTTCCATCAAGCCCAAAGCTGCAATCATACTAATAAGTACAACGATATAATTAAAATTTAGTTTCAATTTAATTAAAATTTTACTGATAAAAAATAGTAAAAGAAATATGTAATTTAAAGTTTAAAAATGTAATTTTAATTCTGGTAAACAAACTCTTTAAAGTAACTCATTGAAAAATAACGTTGTGAAAACTGGATTTTAATAGGCAATAATTTCTGATTTCTAGAAAAGAGAGCAATTTTATCCTTTATATGTTCTCTTGTCTTATTACACAAGAAAATTTTCCAATCAACTTTTACTTTTACTTCTATTATTCTACTTTCATCAATGACCTTATCCAACGTTGCCTTAAAATGTAATCCGAAACGAATTTGCTACATAAAAGTAATTTCACTTTCTTATTTTCTAAATATTCTATTCGATACTTAAATTAGTTTGAAAGAAATAAATGGAAACACCCTATTATTCTTAACGTTACTACTAAAGAACAAGGTATAAAATAAATAAAGGATGTATTTGAATCATGTATTTTTGGGAAAGAACATGTCAAACAGTAAGTTTTTCAACGGATTCTGATCGTTACAGACTTTCGAACGGATTTTAGTTTCCTTGAAATAGCATGTAAGAAATATATCTGTACAGTATTGTTACAGTAGGATGATTGGTTAAGCCATGTTGTAAAGTGCATTGAGAAGACGAGAAGATAATGTTGCCCTCGGCCATAGAGTGGAAAATTGAAGAAAATTACATTCTCAGCTAAAACCAGACTATCTACATGAGAGAATCGATTCATACGGAACTGAAACGTTGTTTGCTAAATGAAATTAAACTAACTCGACCCCTTTTCTCCAACTTCCATTGAATTTGTTACGTTCCAGACTTGAAAATCGAAGATATTTAAGCTAAAGACTACCTTTCTTTCTTTTTTCTTTCTGTTGCTTTCAATTTTAGAAACAAGCTCTTTTTTTCATTTATTCTGTTTCTTCTTCTTGGAGTCTGTGTCAACTTCTGATGGCCAACTGCCCTGTACCTGATCTCCAAATAAATAAAACATTAGGTTGATCGTAAAAGTCGGTAACCTAGTAGCATTTTGTTCTCTTTGTATAAAAGAGGTGGGTGAATGTGAAAGTGTGCTGTTTTGTTTTCTTTTTCCCCCTATTCAAAATGCCATTGTAACGAGATTTAATAGTGAATAATTAAAGTTTGGAAAAGTTTGAAAAATACCGATTACAGCATAAGAATTCATAAGATATTCGGCTTAAAATACATATTTTTATCGTTAATTAATTATGAGAACATGATAAAATGTAGTCTCTTGAGTGTATATCTTTAAGAAAATTTAAAAATTTATCGCCTTTCCACCCACAACACTTGCAAAGTATCGCATAATTTAGATATTAAAAACCGTTTTCAACTTAATTTTTGTATAATTAATATTATACAAATAATAATTTTTTTTTTAAATAATTGAATATTTATTAAGTTATTTAGAATAAACCAGAATCAATAACAAAAACCCAATTAACTTCATCCGTAATATATAGGGGAGACCGGGGCAAGATCGGCATGTTAAGCTTTACTTAAATTTTGTGTAATAAATACTGCTGTAAACTGAAAAAAAGCTTTGCATATTGTCTATTGGAATGTTTTCTTACTATAGAACTGGTTAAAATCAGTTTGGAAATAAAAATAATTAAAATAATTACAACTTTACAAGAAGAGAGAAATTGCCGAAGTTGCCCCGGGTATAGGGGCAAGATCGGCAACTTCTCTCTTTTTGTAAAGTTGTAATTATTTTAATTATTTTTATTAAAGTTGCCCCTGGTATAGGGGCAACAGTAATGGGGCAAGATAGGCACGTATATAAAATTATGTTATTAACAATGTATAAGTTGGAATTCACTATTAAAACAAAGAAATACAAATCCAACACCCATTTAATATTATTACAACGAAATGCAAGTTCAAAGACATATATACATGAATAACAAATGCAAACATGTTTTCATTTATCATCTGTTTGATTTTTATCCTTTGCTTCTAATGTGGCTTTATGTTGCCGATCTTACCCCGCTAGTCATGATTTCGAAACATTAAGTACAACCCTGAGAACAGAATGCCAAGCCACGATCTGGCCACGTGAATAAGTTGAAGTTACATCCTTCTAACAGGAAAAGTAACTTTCGTTATCATGGAATTATAACAAAACCTGCCAATTCAATATAAATGGAAAAAAAATATTATATGGAATTGAACGAAAATGAAAATTTGCTTGATAATTCAACTACGCTTGTTGGAGAACAATAAAAACACTACACTCAACAAGCCACCAATAAAACTCAACTGCCTAACCTATAACCAAAGTCTCCTTTTAATTTGTTTTTAAAACAAAGCGCTTGACAAACTTGCCCCGCATGCCGAAGTTGCCCCGGTCTCCCCTATATCAATACCCGAATAAACAAATTAAAATTTCTTTATTAGTAATATAAAACTTTCATTAAATATTATAATATCGAAAATTAATTAGAATTTTTAATCTTAAACGTTAATTATTTCTTAAATAATCACTTTATAAAACTTTATATTAAAGAAGTGATTTTGTGCTTTCATCGTATCGATAATTACTTTACTTTAAGTGATTATTTTAATTTTAAATAAAATTAATTAAAAATTAAATAAATATATTTTTATGCAAACTTATACAAAGTTTTACAGAATGAATATATATATATATATTCAGGTAGAAAAATATAGTTATTTGTCACGAAGATCATAACGAAATTCGAAGCGTGATTATTTTGCGTGTAGTTCTAAGATATAGTCAGCAAAAAATGAAAGGTTTTTTTAAAAATTTAAACAGATTTTTAAAAATAAAAAATAATAATATATTATATACATAAACTTACTTTAAAAAAAGTGAAGTCTCTCTGAAAATTTCATGAATAGAAGACTTACAAAAAGTTTCGAAAACATCTTAGTTTTACGTGTATAAATCCATTTAGATCAACCTTCTCTAAACGAAATGTTTACATTTTAAAAGTTAATTTTTTTACAGTCAAAATATTTTTCTAATGAGTTTAAAATATATACATGAAATTAGATTTATATTATCATATTTTTTTAGTAGAGAATATTAATTTATATTTATTTTAGTATTATTTACTTTATTTTACAATTTACTTTTACAATTTTAGACTTTTCTAGAAATATATTAAATATTTATAAATAAGTCTTTTATGTGATGGTTTATGGTATTATTTTCTAAAAAAAAAACAAAAGTAATATACAGTACGTATATATGCAAGTATATTTATATGCTTTAAATATACACAGAAAATTAGTTTATATTTTCATATCTTTTAAATAAGTGACAAAATAATATATATATATATTTAATTTCTATTCATTTATGAATTTCATTTGCTTTATTATATTCATTCGGTATCATTTACTTTATAACAGAATTTAATCTTTTATAATGTTATAGCTTTTCTAGAAAAAAGAAATATATATATACTGTATATATATTTTCTTATATATATTTGTATGCTGCTTATACCGTGACCGCAATATTTCTTACTCAACACGAAAAGATGTCGTTCAAAAAACAAAATACCCAATGGACATATTTCTCTAAAGGACTATAACCAATGTCGGAGAATTTTTATCACCAAGTGAAATAGTCGAACGAAGAATGTAAAATATTAAATAATTGAAATGGAATATGTACACTGAACCTTCTGACATTACATAAATTATTTTAAATAATTCAATTTTGTTTTCGTGACTTTTTATATATATATTTTTAATAAATTCAAAATATTATAAACTAGACTAATACTTAAAGATGTAAATTTTTATATGATCGTACGTGAATATATCCTTTAAAAGTTTCTTATAAGTTTACAACATTTGTGATGTTTGTTATAAGTACTTTCGAGTGGTATAATCTCATTCTTATTTTACGTAAAGGATATGTCAAACTATACACTAGATTATTGTATATTCTAGTATTGAATTTGCACGAAACTAAGTAGGCATTTACAATATAAGTGGCCCTACAGAATTGCACCAATTGTCGAATTACGCATGATGATACTATCCACATACGTTAGACCAAATGATAATTATAGAAAACTGTAATTAAACCTGTCTCTAATATACGATAATTAAATTGTATAATTGATATATTTTAAATGAAATTCTTATATATATTTAAAGTTTTTAAATATTGATATCTAAAAAGAATATTAAATAATAATAAAAAAAAAGAAAATAAATTATTTTTACTATTTGAAAATAGGAATTTTCATCTCTGATTATATTTAATGGAGATTAAAAAACAATAAGAGGTCGATCGAGTAGTAATTAACGTTGGAGAATTTTGGATTCATAACTAAGAAATAAGATGAAGAAACAGATGGCGTGACCTATCTGTGAACAGACGGAGTTTTTCACACAATCGGAACAATTCTAGATTAAAAAATTACCACTCGGCCACAGCTGGATAGATAGTTTGTTGGGAACAATCATTTATGTTTCTCAGAATGGATCGATTGTTCCTCAGTTAGGTCGGTAAGTGATTCCCATTCAAATAGTCTTTCTCTCTCTTTGCTTGAATTTATAAAAGAGAACGAAATAAAAGTTTTCCTGTTCTCCACCGTTTCTAAACTTGTACATCCATTATAACGTCATCGTAACTTTCCCACTATAAAACAGTGTTTAGAAATTGAAAATCGTAAATATTTCGAACCACTAAGTGTTTAAGAAGAATTAAGAACTATCATATCAAAAAATATAGGCCATAAGATCTTAAACGTCTCATTAAATTTCAATATTTAAAAGATAAATTATAAATTTAATACAGGAAGGGACCCACAAAATTTCAATAAATCACTGTTTTATCATGAAAATGTTTATTATTTTACAAACAATTCTAATAGCAACAGTCATGCCGTTCATAAATATAACTTCATTTTGGGGGAATTATTTTGAATTGAAATCACGTAACTTCCTGTTCAGATCGGAAATTCGTATATAGTTAATCGAGGCCGCCT